TAGTTGGATGCCTAAGTAAAAACGCCGTTAAAAAAAACAGTGAGACTTCAGTGAGACTCCCTAAAACACAATTCTGTCCAATTTTTATGATCTGCTGGTCTGTGGTCTTACACGACCACTGCAAAACACGTATAATCCATTGTTATAGGTTACCTTAACCTACATACAAAGATTTTGTAACTATCTTAAGTATGTACAAAACATTGTCCTACATGATCACATCTACACACTGGAACTGTTTCTATTGATGGTCTTATCTTTGCACAATTGCTTAACTTTGCAGCAGGAACTGTCTGGGAATAGCTGGGACAATCAGATTCTTCACCCAGGATGTTAATCAACACATTTAAGCATACAAATTGGTCTAGGCACAGCAGGAACCACCTGGGAAATCTCAAGAACTGCTTGAAATTCCCCCTGGGGCAGTTCTTGTGACAATCTGTCAAATACTTCTTGTGCAGATAGCCAGCAGTTCAGTCAATCACCTCCTTTCAATTTGGTCTGCTGTCTCAAACCAGTCCTTTATCTCGTTGATGCAGACGACTAGTCTGGGAGTTCCCGGACCACTCTGGGAATTAATAACTTAAGTGCATTGGGAGTGCACATAGGCACAGCCCTGAAATCCAGCTACATTACAATTATAATTAAATGATTAAACATTATTTTTCTTCTTAAGTCTTATAGCCCTTGCCCATCTATCTGACCAAATGATGTCAACGTCTGACCTAGTGAACTACCTTCCCAGTTCAGATGGAAGTGGCTAAGGAGTGACTCATCTCATGCTTAAGTAAAAGCCTAAAGTTAGGTGGTACTTTTGGTATGCATAAGTATCACATATCACATTTATCACATATCACATTTATCCCAGCTTGGTTTTGATCTCTGGATCATATCACTGAATTTGAGCGTGCAAACATCAACATTTCTGATACGAAATCACCTAAGGCAGCACTTGTAGTGAGATGTGTGGTCTATTGTTTCTGGTAACAGTAAAAGTTGGAATATTGTGGATATAAGCACCAAAGTATGGAGCTTTCCACATTTTATTTCCAGGTCAAATGCTCACCTACTGCAAAAACCAATTCACCATTCCTACCTCCAAGTTCAAAGATCACTTACAGCATGCATGCTTGTGGGCTGAACTATTTAAAAGAAATGGATTTTCTGCTTTACTGATGATGAAGAGAGTACGTTTATTTGGGCCATTGAGATTCACACAGAGCAGAGCAGGCAACTACTCATTCTACCTTCTGCTTCCCTTCACTCACCTGATGTTGTCAGCAGTGGGTCAAGCAACATCTGGGAAAACAATCTCAACTCATCTGTATTCCACACAACACAAACTACTGCTTTATCAGATGCTCCCTATGCTCTGGGTCAATGCAGATCACAATGGGTTTAATGTCTATACTTCCCTATCAGTGAACTGACATGAGATTCCACATCGAACAATGAAGTGTAGAATCTCAGTGCTCATGTTGTGTATCTTCAATAGTTAGCTCTGTAGTATCCTCATGTTAAGACTGAACTAAATAAACCACAACATCCTGCACCCTTTTATTTGCAAGCCACGGCTGTAATGGGTCTTTTAGATCAGTATTTCACAGGTATGATTTTTTTTTCTTTTATTTAATGTTCAAAGAAGACAATTTTCAGCTTCCAGTTATTTTGTGGGATGCACTGCTGTAATAGCTACATCTACTGCATTAGGACCAAAGCTGAGTAACATGACTAATATAACCATAAAAAGTGAGTCTACATTGCCAAGTAACTTTCCAGTTTGTAGTCACAGCCATATGTGGCCCCACAAATTTGGAAGAGCTATGTGTAGGCCATATTGAGTAGAACAAGAATGAAATCTGCAGCTATGGAATGGCTCAACTACTGACACCATTATCAGCTGCTCACACTTCAAGAATGCTTATTGCTGATTACTACACGCATGTAGCTAGTCTAGTTAATGGAAGAGTTGCACTGGCAGTACAGTTCATAATCTGACCAGCCCCTAAGCTGAGGGAGAGCTTTTAACCACAGATCACCTTTGTGGTTACTGGTAAAGCAATAAGGAGACAGACCAAGATATGCTGGGGGAGGTTACAATTGTCTTCGTAGAACTGGCTGTTAAAATCATCAAACTAGCTGTTGAAAAGAAATATAGCCAGAAAGGTTCCATCTCAACTGTTGATGACCTTTTTCCTAGAGATGCTGTTATCGTGGCTCAGCTCCACAGCCAAGTCTCCTCCTCTCCCATCCCATTCCCTATCACGTGCCTCAAGCAACAACAGGCTTTTCCCTGGCCATCCTTCCCTGTGCTCCATCCTTCCTCCAAGCAGGCTGGTGTTAGTTTGGCAGCACTCGCTTCTAGGGAGAGAATGAACACAGGCTCTTTGTGGTGCAGGATGAGCATGAACAGATGTGACATCTTGCAAAGGAAAAATAAGTCTTCTCTAAGTTTCAAAAGAAACATTTGACATGGAGAATTCACAGCAGCAGACAAAGTAGACATGTTGGTTTTGGGCCATAGAAATTCTGGGATAATTAGTGGAACCTTGTCTTCCCTTTCTTGCAGTGAAGCATCCAGTTTTCCTCTAAAATCCACAAAAAAAAAAACACCTACTGCAGAGCCTTATTTTCTACACCTTCCTTCAGGACACTGGTTGGCCTAACGCTATGCTAAATGGCAAATATTTTAAGAATTGCAGGATATGTTAAGAAATGTTGCCAAATACTTTAGTCTCCAAATTCTGCCTTTTAAAAAAACCCAACAAATCTCTAGTGGAAACTGTTGCCATAATTCTAAACAGCTCATTGAAAAAAAGCCCAAACATCTATACTGTTTATGGAGGATCTACATTATGTGCTCCCTTTCACTGTCTGAGCAGGAACAGGAACAGCACAGGACTTTTCCCATGACTTAAGGGCATGAGCTAACATGCCAGCTCCTGCTGCATTGGAAGCATGAGGCTGGAAGCTCATACATTATCAAAAAGGAAAAAATAAACATGAAACAAATGCTTTCTGTAGCATCTGTGTTCTGAAACAGTGAAATCTGGGTAAATGAAAGCTAAGTGAAAATGTTCAAGCTATTGTTCTGTCTAAACCCTTTAAAATGCCAGCAATTGTCATTGATTACATGTTCAAAAAAGAACTACGGAGAGTCATTAAAACTGAAACATAGTATGTATTGTAACACTGTATTCATATTATCACTTTAGAGAAAAGTAGAGTTTCTAGTAAACACTCCAGCATCAGCTCTATGTTTTTGAAACACTGGACAGCATAATACAGTTCTTAAGAGTATGGGTGAAATACATGAACCCAAACCAATCATTAAATCCTCTCTAGAGGCTATGTAGGAAACACTGAGATGAGCTCCTACTGCTGCCTGTAAACAGCTCCTCTGTCTTCTTTGCTAAAACTTGCAGAATGATCTGGGTATGAGCCAGCATCATATCTGGCTTCTTAAAACCCCATTTATATTTACAACTCTTTGCTGTCCTTTGGCAGTGTCTGTCATTCACCTATGCTGAGTACTACTTTATACTTGTTTTTTTTCAGCTACTGAAATCAGGAAAATTGCTTGGTATGCAGTATGCTGAGCTCTGAGCAAGAGTGCAGACCTAGAAAAATGTATTTATGCATCAATACCTGGATCTGATAAGAAAGTGGACCCCAACCTAAAGCAAGACAAGTCCAGTGCTGCTTTAGGTTACCTGCCATATGAAAATTGAAGCTAACTGGAAGAGGGAGGTACAAAACAAGACTCTGCTCTGTAGCCTCATATCTGCACGGTGTTTGCCTATAAATCAGGAAGTTTGGGATCACTGAAGTAAGCTCTCTTGGTTATTATTTACTTAACTAGATTGGACCATACCCAAATGACCAGAAGGAAAACACTAAGAGGCCTGTCTTCCCCAGCTGAGAGGCTAATTAAGCACTGTAAAAACCCTACAATTTGCCGAAAAGCACATGTAATATAGACACATACAAGATTTACAAGAATAAACCTCCTCCTTGCTATGAAGCTCTAAAGAACAGAAGGGAGGTCTCTAGCTAATTAGGTTAATACCAGCTTATGGCTTCATGTAGAAGAACCAATAAAGAAATAAAATCAGCTAGAAACAAAACACTTTTCGCAAGAATCAATTTTTGCCTTTTCCATCCTTTTACAACTTTTTGTTCTCAAGATTCTACAGCACGGTGTGCTTTGAATTTACCCCTTAATTAGGACAGCAATTTGCTACATTTTGCTTTTTTCCTTGTTTCAGGGTGTTGTTCAGAACAGTCTGGGAAGTAATTCAAATTACTGCCACCAACTTCAAATGCTAAAATCAGACTACTTCATTCTACCTCCACAGCTAAAAAAATGTGCAGCTCAAACTCAGTGCTGTGCCTTCGTGATCTAATTTAAACTTTGTAACTATGAAAAGATAATTACTTTATGCTTTGAGTGATTTTTTCACTCCCCCCCCCCCATACACCCCCCCTTAGAACTCTCTTCATTCTTTTGAAAGGGCATCCAGATAAAGAAGGCATGTATTTTAAAATGTAGTACTAATACCTCATCAGAATGTGTGCGCTTATGGCATTACACACCCATGCTTAAGGAATGCAGGGAAGTTGAGTTCTTCCAATAACAGATTTGGGCTTATTGAACAAGATGCTTACAATTCCAACATTGCTACTAGAAATAAGTACCTTTAGCAAACCGTAATGTGATCAGATGCAATTCAACTCGGGCAGCCAGAAACCTCTTGATAGCAGGTAAAATTCTAAGATGCTAAAGAACATACTCCATCAGCGGAGAAACTGCACTGATTTAAGCCATTTAGTATCTTCTAGTTAAGTGCAACTGGGATTCCAATCGTAGGTTAAAATTAGTTTTAGCCAGGAAGAATATTTTAGCCAGCAGTTCTCCCACAAGTCAGCAATCCAGAGAAAAGAATAAAAAAGGGATGGCATGAAGTGTATGAGCAACATTTGTGTTTGTCTTTCTTTACCTTGAGTTCATCTGCATCATAGAAGTCTATGCGCACAGCAGGGACCATCCATGTCTGGAACAGAGTCGCCAGGATCTGTTTCGCAATTGCATCTGCGATGAGGTGGAAGTGGAGTGGGTTTCGCCTGATATAAGAAGAGAAAGAAATGCATTAGTTCAAAAGTTTCTAATTCTAATTCCTGTTGTGAAAGGACAACATCAAAACTCACAAAGGTTTAACTGGGCTGCATCAAAAGGAGCGTGACCAGCAGGTCGAAGGAGGTGATCCTGCCCCTTTGCTCTCGTGAGACCTCACTTGGAGTATTGTGTGCAGTTCTGTGTCCTCAACATGAAAAGGGCATGGATCTGTTGGAACAAGTCCAGAGGAGGGCCATGAGGACGATCAGGGGACTGGAGCACCTCCCATATGAAGATAGGCTGAGAAAGCTGGGGCTGTTCAGCCTGGAGAAGAGAAGGCTGCATGGAGACCTCATAGCAGCCTTCCAGTATCTAAAGGGGGCATATAGGGGTGCTGGGGATGGACTCTTCATTAGGGACTGTAGTGATAGGACAAGGGGTAATGGGTTAAACCTTAAACAGGGGAAGTTTAGATTGGATATAAGGAAGAAATTCTTTCCTGTTGGGGTGGTGAGGCACTGGAATAGGTTGCCCAGGGAGGTTGTGAATGCTCCATCCCTGGCAGTGTTCAAGGCCAGGTTGGACGAGGCCTTGGGTGATACGGTTTAGAGCAAGGTGTCCCTGCCCATGGCAGGCGGGTTGGAACTTGATGATCTTAAGGTCCTTTCCAACCCTAACTATTCTATGATTCTATGATTCTATGTCTAAGGTCTCAAGGTCAAGCATACAGCATATTTGGTGGAGTCTTGTTCTGTGGCCGAAATGCTAAGACACTTACAATTTGAATAAACATGACAGTAACAGAAATACTGGACCAGTTTGTGGGTGGTTGTAAATAAACATAGCTCCCCTGACTTCAGTGGAATGTAATTATTTATAACACCTAAGGATCTGGTCCCTTCTGCCAGCTCCTTAAAAGAAGGTCAAGTCACTCCCATTTGGATGCTGGAGCTGTGAAACTGATTGCTTTCAGTTTCTAGGTCAACCTGCTAATTTATCTTTGTGGTGCAAACAGTTTTCTGTGGAGAAGTAGGGGTAGAAAGGAAGGTTAAAAGCTAATCATCTGAATGAGGTGAAATTCCAGGACCATTGAGTTTACGCATATATTTTCAACAAAGCAAACTTGGGGCATCAACAGCTGTCCTATGGGAACACAAAATCAGGTGTTCCAGGTGAGTGCCTTCTAGGTACTGGCACAGCAAGTAGAATGCGAGATTGTAGATTTCCCCACATCCCTGTTGCTAAGAAAGAGGGAGGGTTGAAGAAAAGGAGGAAGAATTATTTTCCTCCCAAAACACCAGATGTGGGTTCACCTCTGTTACAAGACTTGAGCAAAGTGAAAAGCTTCAAAACAAGATGAGTGAGAGAGCAAGACTGGCATGGTTTGACAAAGCGTATGGAGTTTTCAACAATAATGTGAACTTAAGACATTACAAATACCATGTTTTAGCTTCTTTCTTGAAGGGACAGTAAGCAAAGTCTGATCTTTTCTCAACTTCTGTGGCCGAAGTAGGAAAATGTGTCAATGGAAGTTAGTCGTGATGTGTAGTTTTCCATGTTTATCCCTAGCTTAGCAAACTTCCATGTCAGCAGAGAAGGACAGGTTGGATGAGGCCTTCGGTGATATGGTTTAGAGCGAGGTGTCCCTGCCCATGGCAGGGGGGTTGGAACTTGATGATCTTAAGGTCCTTTCCAATCCTAACCGTTCTATGATTCTATGACTCTATGACAGAGTTTCGAAAGCCACTAAGAAGACAGATGGTTCATGTAGACTTTAGCATTGGCTCAACCTTTCTTCAATTCCTATGGTGGAATAGTAGAGCTTTATTTATGTGAAATTTGTAAAGATAAATGAGTGTATACTTATTATCTGATAATTTTCATCTAGAAAGAGGAGCATTTAGTGTCAGATGCTCGTTAAAGTGGAAGAGGACTGATGCTACTACATTCTTCTGTGTGAACAAGAAGTGAAGGAATCCAGGACAATGTACTCCTGTTAAACTTTTGAGCTTAACCCAAAAGATGAAGATTATTTCTTTCTCGATTTCCTGCATTATTACACAAAATGTGCCTTTCTCTTTAATGCTATTCTTCTTGCTTTGATGAGTAATACTGGTTCTCACTGAACAAAGTCAACAATAAAATGTAAAAATACATATAATGGTTCATAGGATCATAACACACCACTCAGCAGAAACAAGAGATTGTTGTGAGAAGCAATATATGGCTGGATTTTGCAGTGTTAGAAATACTACACCTGAGATCCAATACCCATGGATGCCACCGAAGGTGTTGTATGGGCTTCAAGGGCACCATGATTCAAATAACGTGCTTACATGTTATGTGCTGGTTAGAAGCCTTATGTAATGAGCTAATCACGATGGCAGAATAAACCTACATCTGATCTACATTTAACTATACCCAAAACACTGCTTTCCAAAAAGGCAAAAGGTCTTTCAATCCCCAGCTTGCCCTGGAATGACAGGGGGAGAGGGAAAGGCGAAGGCTGCCAGCTGCTGAGTGTCCCATTACCAAGCTAAAGGGATCATAACAATTATAACTGCTTCACCAGCCCAGCAGGAGAGAAGAGGAGGACATCCTGGCTCATGCAGATTCCGCAGTAACCAGGCACCTTGCCAAGAAAAAATCGGGAAATAGCAGTTATAAGGAAATACATTTCATTAGCAGAGAAAAGGCCAAGAGAAACAAAGTACAACATCAGTGGCTTTGGGTACTGGCAAAGCAATATCTCTAGGCAAATAGGTATTGAATATCAACATACACATCCTACACAGGTCCCTCTGCTTAGCAGGGGCTGAGGCCAGCATCTGGTAGAACTATTCCCCAGTTGGTGTTCTTTAGTAACTTCTTTCCCTTTTTTCAGGGTCATTTATCTATATACTGCAAAGTAGAATATGAAGAGAAAAAAATCAGTCAAAACCAAGAAAGCTATATCTCTTTCAATCCATCATTTAGTTAAATGGAACTGATATAAAATTTCAAGATGAAACACACTAGCTGAAAAGAAAAAATCTGATACAAATACTCAGATCTTCAGTAGCAGTTTATACTTATCTGAATGACCCAAAGTGTATGAAACTTAAATGGGAACAAGTGGGTGACATTTTCTTTAGTTCAGCTCCTACTGGGAAAAAGAAAAAAGGAGTAGTTGTACTCCTACACAGAAATCTCTTTCAAGTTGTTAGCCTCATGGTAGAGATTCAGCTGGAAGGAAAGTATGTGTCAGAGGAAAAGCAGAAGATTATCACTTAACAAAAATACATCCCCAAAACAGTGACCCACTGACATCTACAACTAAATGTGCATCATCCACACAGAATTTTACTCCAGACGAGATTTTAGTTATGTGAAATGTGAGGTTTAGCATGGTGCTAGAAGCCAACAGAGCACAGACTCAAACTTGTAAGACCTTCTGAAGGTAATAGTACTAGCATACACACAGATGACATGTTATACCTCTTCTGGTCTCTGCAATATGCAAAGCCTAAAAGATAAGGATTGCCTCAAAATGTTTATGAAGCAAGTTCAGAAGCTTAAAGATCAAACAACATCCATTGTAAAAGATACAAAAGAGATTATGTAGGATGAGAAGTCTTTCTTAAGACATATGAGAAAGGGAAGTCATCATTATTTGCTAAGATGGCTGAATCACTGGCTCTAAGAATTAGGGGTGACAATCAGGATATTGTAAGAGATTCCACTGAAAGCGACATATAATTAGATGTTTTGCTGTACCATTTGATGTAAGTGAAAACTATTCCATTCTTCAGACTGGTCTTTGTCCATGACAGAGCTATTTTGGGATATGGGGTTTATAAAACTGAAATCAAATTCTATTGCTCCTATGATAAGTGAAGGGATAGCCATGTGGAAAGCTATTCTTTACAGACATTTGGCAGCTACAGTTTAAAAATTTTGGGAAAGGTGGGGATGATACCTCAGTCTTCCAGAGGGAGGCTTGAGTCCCTCACCTGGGTATACAAGGAAGGGTGGCACGGCCTTTGAAGAAACGAGCAGCTGAAGACACCAAAGTTTGCTAGTGGAAACTGAGTGGCATGAAACTTGAAAAATACGATGCCCTGGTTAAAGAAAAACCCAACTTCATTCTGTTGTGAAGGTAGATGAAGTTGTGAAAAGGGTCTCAATAAGGTTGGTTCCTGCAATAGCAGGTGAGTTAATGAGATGACTCAACTGATTTTTTCCAGTTCCCTGAGGCTCAGGACTTCAGTGCAAGACATCTTTCTTGGGTTGAAGGGAACCTGGAATCAGGTCTCAGAGGAAGGGATGACCAATATAAACTTTCTTTTCTCTCACTCTAAACACGAGGTGGACTTCCTTTGACCTGAATTTCTCTAACTCAAAGCACAGTTGTGTCTTGTGTTTACTTTTAATGCATATATTACCCCATATAACTCATGTTCCACTGGTCATGTCAATAGAACGGAAGATCCACACACAGTAGAGCTTGGTAGTATCTTGTACTGCTAGAAAGTACTATATTGTAAATGGTGACAGTATATGCAACTATGGAATAAGAAAGATCAATATATGACAGATTTTATAAACTTCACCTACAAAATCAATAGGGTTTAGAAAAATTCCCGGTATTCATATGAATTTGTGAAGTCAAGGTTTCTAGTGTCCCAGGTTTCAGAACAGATAGCTCTTGAATTCTGAGCACTAGGTCTTCTATTTTCCCCACTATAAAAGCAGATATTGAAACAGCCAGAGAATTTCTCTCAAGTTCCAGAAATACTTAATTTCATTCACCTCAAAGATTTGAACATCTGAACTTTTATGAACTCCAACTTTTCACAATTTCTGCTACATGGAAAATGATGATGCTCTAATGTCTTAATGCATAAGAATTCCTTTTCAAAGTGTCGGTATTTCCCATCAGTAGAAAAGTCAAGGTTTTAACCACTTGATTTATAAAGCTGCAAATCTTCATATATTAAATTATTTCCACTTATCTTAAAATCAGAAT